TTATTTTCCTAGCAAAAAAGTATAATAGACGTAATGTGTGAAACACCTCCTGCGCTTCTAACTAAATCCCTATACACTAATCAAGGAGGTACAGCTGCCAACATCCAATCATATACCACATGATAAACGTGAAAAAACAGAGAAAATGATGTAGCGCTAATACCATATAAACCCCACCACATATATTACTAATACCAAAAGTGACAATAATAATAAAATAAATTAAATTAAATCAACATAAATATATCAATATGCACATAAGTAATAACAAAAAACATATAAATTGTGATGCATATAATTGTAAAGATGCGTGCGCATACATACATGTATGTATATGTATATGTGTGTGTGGATCTATATACAAATAGATCCATATCATATGGGGCACTATTTGTATTTGTTGGCCCCATTTTGGACCTGTTATGTGGCACTTTGTTGCATCTGTATTGTGTAAGTGATATAACACTTATGTGCATCACTACTTAAATGTTTTTTTGTGTATTATTTATGAGTGTATATGTATATGTGTGTGTCATTGTATTTGTTATACACACATATATACACATATATACATACATACATACATACATATATATAGTGTATGTATGTATATATATATGTGTGTGTGTGTGTGTATATAATAATTAAATTAATATAAAATAAATCAGTATGCACATATATAATACACAAAAAAACATTTTAAGTAGTGATGCACATAAGTGTCTATATCACTCACACAATTTTTTTGTGCAACAAAGTGCCACATAACAGGTCCAAAATGGGGCCAACAAATACAAATAGTGCCCCCAAATGATCCTAGATGGATATCTATTTGTAGGTCCCATTTTGGACCTGTTATGTGGCACTTTGTTGCATGTGTGTTGTGTGAGTGATATAGACACTTACGTGCATCACTACTTGTATGTTTTTTTTTTTGCGTATTATTTATGTGCATATTGATATATGTTATATTTATCTATCTATATATATCTCTATCTATATATATTATATATTATATATATCTATTGTTTGTTTTTATGTTATGTATTTGTGTGTGTGTATGTATGTATGTTATGTGTGCGTATGTGTATGTGTATATATATTGTGTGTGTGTGTGTGTGTGTGTTGTGGTATATATGTATGTATGTATGTGCATCTTTACACTTATATGCATCACCTTTTATATGTTTTTTGTTATTACTTATGTGCATATTGATATATTTATGTTGATTTATTTTATTATTATTGTCACTTTTGGTATTGGTAATATATGTGGTGGGGTTTATATGGTATTAGCGCTACATAATTTTCTCTGTTTTTTTCACATTTATCATATAATAGATGTAATAATCCCTTGGCATAGTGAGAGAGTGCCAGGTCTCCAAAGATTCCCAAGAGATAGTTTTTGGGATGTAAAATTTTTGGCAAGCCTAGCATAGAATAAATAAATAAAACCTACTTCCTCCCAAAACCTCTGGACTACCGGACAGGTCCAGAAACAATGTAGGAAATCGGCAATCTTGCCAGAGTCTCTGAAACAGTCTGCTTGTGGCTGTAAACTCATTTTATGTAATCAAGCAGAAGTGAGGCGAGAAGGATAAAAAATGTTTTAGTTGTATGATTCTATCCTTAGAAGAAATTACAGAATTTTTGTAGGTGTTACTAAATTCAGACCTACGTGCTGACGTCACGCCGCCGAGTCCGTGCATGGTCCTGCGGCCATTCGTGTAAGTTCAGCCGCTTGTTTTATATATTCCACGTGATATTTGAATAAACTACTACACTATGCACCTTTCTTTGGGCTCCGTATGGTGAGCTATTTTTATTAAGGTGTGTCCTGGTCACTTGTGATTGGATCCGTCAAGAGGAAGGAGTGAAGAAGGCTGTCACAGATTGTAACACTACTGTGGGCTTGTTTTTACCAGAGTTCTGGTGAGTGCATAGAGGTGAAGGTTTCACGGAAGAGGTGTCACTGCCAAATTGATGTCACTGGGTTATCTGGTTTATTGAACTTTGTTTCTTTTACACAAACTATTTATTTGGCACTCAGCACTTCTCACTGATTTTGGTGTTTATTGATATATGTCAGATTGTTAGCATTGGATGCCATATGGCCTTATAACCCTTTTACTAGTCACATGAAATTTTGTAATAGGAATTCTTTTTATTTTCAGTGGTTATTTATTTTCTATTGGGTTGGTCACCTTCTTAGTGCCTACAGCTTTATCATCTCCAAGCACTCACTACATCCTCCTTGTTTTGCATAGAATGAACTCATGATATTTGAATGTGATGGTCAGTGGGAAGAATGCTCCTTACACTTGTCATTGGAAAGAATTACCCCTTTACAGATAGCTAAAAAGGCCAGTGGTGTCAGTGGGAACTTATCTGAGGGGCAGAAATTGCTCATTGCTAAAGGAAACCCCTAGCATCCCCCTGGAGGAACCCTGGTTGAGAAACCCTGGTCTAGATCGATGGTAAACTTGTCTTTGCTTCTGCTAAGGAAAGGCAAGTAGGTGTTGCTGGGGTGGGGATGTTAAAGTCAAACTGTTGCTTTGACTGCACGAGCACAAAGTTTGTGATGATTATGTATCCCATCTAGGCCTCCTGCCCTGGAGGCTGCCATTGTTAAATCCCCAGAAGAGGGTATTCGTTCCGAGACAGGATACACTTTTGCAGCCATCACACAATGCCCGCCTGTTTGGAGCCTTAGCTGTGACAGGTAAATATCTTGACAGGTACTTATTTAAAGGTGTGTGTTGCACAGATGTATTTACATGATAGTTGAATGTCATTGGGGTGTATCTCACCCAGCTTGTCTGAGGAATATTACAAATACAATGTCTGCGCTTATGGACCAATACCTAAACTATAAACCCCTTTATATCCAATAGGATATAATAGTGATATGATCAAATATATAGTATGGAGCTACTAAACCCCCCCCCCCCCCCCCCCCCCCCCCCACCCCCCCCCCCCTCCCCCCCCCCCCCCCCCCCCCCCCCCCCCCCCCCCCCCCCTCCCCCCCCCCCCCAAAGGATAATCCACTTAAAATACTAGTGCTGTTGTAACTACTATACATTGGGTAAAAATTAGGGGAGCACCGAAACGTCGGTGGCTGAAATGTTTCAGCCGAAAACATCCCTATCAGCCGTTGGATGATATGAAAATAAGCACCGATACAGGTGCTGAAAATAATCTCGCCACCCGCCGCCATTCGGTAGTTGTCAGCCTTACCTGAGAAATGATCCCGAATGATCCCGGCGCTGGGCATAGAGATAACTGAAGGAAACATGGCCTTCACTCATCTCCATGCCCTTGGAGGACCAAAGCGACCTCACTTCCGGTTCTGGCTCCTTGTAAACAAGGCCATTTATTTTTTTTTATTAGATCACTGTTTTTGTTTTTTTTTTTTAATATAATGCTTTACATTGTAGAAGAGAGATGTGGGATCTTATTGACCCGATATCTCTCCATAAAGAGGACCTGTCACTAATTATTTCTATCACAAGGGATGCATGAATTCCTTGTCATAGGAATAAGTGATTCCTTTTTTTTTTTTTTTTTTTTTAAATGGACAGTGTTATAAAAAAAAAAAAAAAAGTTTAAAGTGCCCCTGTCTCCCTATACTTGCATGTAGTAGTGAATGCATTCGTAGGCCATGCCCACATATGTAAACGGTGTTCAAACCACACATGTGGGGTATCACCGCGAACATCAAAACAAGGGCAATAATTCTAGCACTTGATCTCCTCTGTAACTTTACACTGGTAGCTTGCAGAAATTTTTAAAGCGTCACTCATGGAGATTTTTAAATACCGTAGTTTGACGCCATTCCACGAGTGTGTGGAATTTTAAAGAATGACATGTTCAGTATCTATTTACTCTGCATAGCATCATCTTACATATTTTACAAAAAAAATTGGTGCATATATTGGTTTTTTTTTTTTTTTATTAAATAAAGTGTATTTTTTCCCAAAAAATTGCGTTTGAAAAATATATCCATTTTTAAAAACTGTCCATTTCGGTTTTGGTTTTCGGCCAAGTGCATCCTGAATGTACGGTTTTGGCACCAGAATTTTAATTTCGGTGCACCACGAGTAAAAATGCATTGCTAATACTCCTCCTATGGAGAGGGTAGCCTCTAAATACACATTCCAATATAATAAATATACACCCCCCTCAATAAAAAAAATTTGTGGAATATATACCACTGACAAAATGTACAAAATATATATAACCATCCCCCTTGCAAATTAATATTTATTATTTATTATTATAATAGCGCACTCCCAGTCTGCAAGTCCTTGAAAGTGCTTCATATGTGCAGTCCATATAGTGCTCTTTAACCAACATGAATGGTGTGGTGTTCCTTCGTGTAACACTCGTGCTCCCCCATTAGGTCCGCCCTCACCAGAGTCCCAGGACCCCCTTTTAACAAGCGGGTCATATGCGCTTTATGCAATATCCACTGTATTCCTCGGATCGTTTGTGTTTTCTGGGCTCCCATATCTCCTTCCTCTTTCATTCCACTAGTATTTTCCAGGTAAAACCAGAAAGCAGAACTCCAATAGTATAATAGTGTTTTATTAAAACTTCCACCAATTTACAGAAATACGCTTACAAATAAAATCACCCAAAAGCGCTTTGTCTTGTGGTTCCGGGACGCTCCTGTGTTCCACGGACCGGAAGTTGGCACCCAGAAGTACCACAAAAAGGCTCCACCCAACTAGTTTCGTCGGCGTGACGTTCATTTTGTTTTTTGCAGAAAAGATCTCAGTTTGCAAAGCTGTGTGTGTGGTACATGGAGGGACTAAACCCACCCAGTGTGCAAAGGACCTCAGCAGACCCATGGAATTCTTTGCCCTCTCAGTGATCTTTGTTTCTCTGTTGTTGTTGCATAGTGTAATGCTCTCTTGATAAATGAGGTGGGCACAAATGCTTTCATGTTTCTTTGGAGTTCATTTCGATGACAATTCCTTCATCTTTTTATCCAGGTGCCTCGACGTCAACAGTGAAATTGCCCTCCAATAGGCTTCCTTCCCCCAAGAGCCTGGTCAGTTCCCCCGGCCAGATCCTGGCACAGTTCCCTAAGCAGTACCAGCAGTCGCCAAAACATCAGATCCATCATATGACACCACAGGCTCCCCCACTGTCACAGCCATCCACTATTACCCAGACAGTTCCCACTCCATCTCTTCAGGTGCCACCAGGGATCAAGCCCACTATACAGATAAAGCAGGAATCTGGTGAGTACACTTTAGGTTGTGGATAAAACGGCAACAGCCTGGAAGTCTTGTAGATTAACCCCTCATGACCAGGGTCATTGATGCCTAGATGCTCTGCACAAATTTTGCAGCATACGCATGCTGCATCTGAGCACCAAAAACACTGTTTAATTCATTTTTAATCGCTTCCCGACCACCCTATAGTAGAACTACTGCTACAGGGCAGCAGGGCTGCGCAAAATCACGTGTTTTTATACGTGATTTTGTAGTTCTGGGTAGGTGGGCACGCCGCCCTACGCGCACCCCCATTGGCGGCTACAGCTGTTGATCACCGGGTCCTGGCCAGAGATTCCCCGCCGGTGATCGCTAAGCTACACTGATCGGGGAATGGTGTGTATGTAAACAATACGGAGCTCTCCCCTGTCGGCACCAGCATGCTGCTTTGCATTGCTCTGCATAGCATGCTTACACAGCACAGTAAAACCCGCACACTGTTAACCCTTTTATCTCCCCAGATGTTAACCCATTCCTGCCCAGTGTTACTAGTCCGGTGTCAGTGCTGTTTATTAGCACTGATCACTGTATTAGTGTCATTGGCAGTCAGTTCCCACCCAGTTTCAGAATACCCATCGCAGTCCCGCAAGTTGCTGATCGCTGCCATTACTAGTATGAAAAAAACAAAAAATTCCACTATATGTACCGCCATTTGTAGACTTAAACCAATTAATTTACATGTATTAGGACTTTTTTTTAGCAAAGATGTAGCAGAATACATATTGGCCAAAATTTATGATGAAATTTGATTATTAAAATTTTTTTTACTGGATGTTTTATTTATATATATATATATATATATATATATATATTTTTTTTTTTAATTCTGTCTTTTTTTTTGTTTACAATGCAAAAAAAAAACCGCAGTGGCAATCAAATGCCACTGAAAGAAAACTCTATTTGTTGGGAAAACAGGACTTAAATTTCGGGTGCAGTGTTGCATGACCGCGCAATTGTCAGTTGAAGTAACGCAGCGCCAAATCGCAAAAAATGGCCTGGTCAGGAAGAGCAGTATATACCTCAGGAGGGCAAGTGGTTAATATACAAAGCAAACTCAACCATCCATCCATGTCTCTGCTTTTTTTTTTTTTAGCTGAGAAATCATTTTAAAAATATCCTCCTAGCATTTCTGGCCTCATGACCATCTTGAGTAAGGGCAGATAATTCATGTAGCATTTACTTTTTGGAATCCATCTGCCCTTAACTCAGGCATGCAGGCAGGAGGGTGTGCTTAGCTAAAAAATACTTTCCTGAAGACTCCTGAGATGTATAACATCATTTGCCTAGGCTTGGAAACCAGGAAATAAATGAAGAAATGTAAAACGTTCAAAACAAGCAAATATGATATAACTTATCAGTTTGCTAATACTAGCAGATATATAATATATATATATATATATATATATATATATATACATGTATGTATGTATGTATGTATGTGTGAGAGAGAGAGATCGATCTCGAGAGAGAGAGAGAGAGAGAGATCTATCTCTATATATATATATATATATATATATAGATAGATAGATAGATAGAGATCTAGAGGGAGATAGATAGAGATCTAGATCTCGATAGATAGAGATCTAGAGGGAGATAGATAGAGATCTAGAGGGAGATAGATAGAGATCTAGAGGGAGATAGATAGAGATCTAGAGGGAGATAGATAGAGATCTAGAGGGAGATAGATAGAGATCTAGAGGGAGATAGATAGAGATCTAGAGGGAGATAGATAGAGATCTAGAGGGAGATAGATAGAGATCTAGAGGGAGATAGATAGAGATCTAGAGGGAGATAGATAGAGATCTAGAGAGAGATAGATAGAGATCTAGAGAGAGATAGATAGATAGATAGATAGAGATCTAGAGAGAGATAGAGATCTAGAGAGAGATAGATAGAGATCTAGAGAGAGATAGAGATATAGATAGATAGATAGAGATCTAGAGAGAGATAGATATAGATAGATCTAGAGAGAGATAGATATAGATAGATCTAGAGAGAGATAGATATAGATAGATCTAGAGAGAGATAGATATATATATATATCTCTATATACATTTATATTTTTTTTAAATATAATTTGTATTCCTAATTAAGTTTAATTTTGCGTTACTTTTTTCTTTAATGTCCTGCAGGTGTTAAGATAATCACGCAGCAAGTTCAGCCCAGTAAAATCCTTCCCAAACCAGTGTCTGCTGCCCTGACCAGCAGCAGTAATGCTCCCATCATGGTCGTGAGCAGCAATGGGGCCATAATGACAACTAAACTGGTCACCACACCAAGCGGTAAGAGTTGACATCACCAATTGTTTCTCCCCTTACCTTGGGGGAAAGTATTTCAGGAAGAAAGCTGAAAATCTCTACACCTGCCTGCTCACCACCACTTATTGGTTTCATCACTCCTGATGAGCAGTTCTAAGACTTACCAGGTGCTCAGTTTTGTTTGGACTTTATAGCCTGAGCCATAAAATTCCAGTGCATGCTTCATTCAGATGCACCTCAGACATTGTTCTGAAAAATGGTGCTAAAAAGGAACCTGGGATTATCTGGGATCCCCAGCACACTTTCAGGCTGCCCAGCATAGTTGGAAACCCAGATAATTTAGAGTTGCCTTGACAAGGCACTGTGGTTATTATTATTACAGGTACTTGTATAGCGCCATCATTTTACGCAGCACTTTACATATATATTGTATATTCACTTCAGTCCCTAACCCTCAAGGGGTGTACAATCTAATGTCCCTAACTCACATTCATACATACACATACTAGGGACAATTTAGACAGGAGCCAATTAACCTACCAGTATGTCTTTGGAGTGTGGGAGGAAACAGGAGTACCCGGAGGAAACCCGCTCAGGGTGAACATGCAAACTCCAGGCAGGTGGTATTGTGGTTGGGATTTGAACCGACGACCCTACTATTACCAGGCGGAAGTGCTAACCGCTTAGCTGCCCATTTTTGCAGGTAATTGCAAATGTATGCTACAAAAACCTGTATTTTTATTCTGAGTAGGGCAAATCTTTTATTTTTTCACTGGGTAACCTGAAAGTGTGCCAGGGACATTCTGTATTTTATTTTAATAAACACACATGTACATATACTGTATTTACATTTTTGGTCCTTTTCTTCACCAAATTGAAATGTTACATCCTATAAACATTCTATGCTTTTATTTAAAAAAAAAAAAAAAAAAAAATGCTTTCTTGTTCCTTAAGGCACACAAGCCACATACACACGACCGGCTGTCAGCTCAGCACTCGGTGCTCGTATGGCGGCTACACCCGGTGCTACCTATGTAAAGACCACCAGCGGAAGCATCATCACTGTTGTGCCAAAATCTCTGGCGACACTGGGAGGGAAGATCATCAGCAGCAACATTGTGTCTGGTAAGTGCCACATAGGATTGCCGACTTGGCAGTGATGGGGTGAAGAAACTGTTCGCTCATCATACTTGTTGCCTGTCTCTGCTCATCCACAACTACAGTATGTCTGCCTGTAATCCCACAGCACCACCTGCTGGATCATGTGTGTTGTGCATCCCGTCCTCGAGACGTGGACCAGTTTATAAAACCTGGAGAAAAGAAATGTGAAGCAGTAGGAGTGTTGGCTGTGGTTATTAAAGAAGTCCTATTTTCCCAGAATGAAAAATAAATCCTGGTTGAATGCAATTGGCAGCAATGTTTATCTTGCACCCTTAACACAGCCTAACTTTAACTTACCTATCCTGCCCACCCTGTGAAAAAAAAACAAAAAAATCTGTACACTTTTTTGTCCAGTCACATGATCCTGAAGCTCTGGCTCTCCTGTGTCAGTGAGCACAGCGGCTGCAAGGCTGAGTTGACAAGGTTGACAACGGCTGCCATGGGAGCCTATGGGTGATGTCATGGGTTCCAGAGTTCAGAGCAGTTGTCAAGCACTCCATGGCATTGGGGAGCCAGAAGTACAGGATCACGTGACTGGACCAGACTAAACAGGCAAGTATACAGGTATTTTTTTACACCGGGTATAGGTAGGAGGAGGGGGGAAGAAACATTTTTAAGACTAGTTCGTGTTAGGCTTTAATTTCATTTTAAGGAAAATTGCTTCTTCCCTGTGGACTATATTTTTCAGTTTTCGCTTAATGTCTGCTGGAGGGGTTTAGGAGACTTTTTTTAAAATTATTATTATTATTATACAGGATTTCTATAGCGCCAACAGTTTGCTCAGCACTTTACAATATAACGGGAGACAAAACAGCAACAATACAGTTCAATACAAGAGGGATAGGAGGGCCTGATCCTGGGAGCTTACAATTTTTTAGATTGTGTTTTTTTTTTTTTTTTTTTTTAAAGCTAAATTAGATTCTTTTTTTTTTTTTTTTTTTTTCTGAAAAGGTCCTGGTACTACCTCCAAAGTTTAAGGTACATGATGGCAAAGTGTAATAAATCAATATACCTTTAATGCCTTTTTTGTGTAAGAAAAAAAAAGTTTCCAGAAGTACAGCCTCAGTCTTCTGGGACTGTCAGATTACATGTGCTTCTCGCTGCCCTACACCGAAAGCATGCCGATGCTTCTGCCAGAGTGTGCTTTGTCAGCCTTTTAAGCTCTACCTTTGGGCTGCTGCTTGATCCCTCCATAGACAGTGATTAGGGAGAGTGCTTCTCTACTGAAAGTGTTTGTTGCCATGGCAACAGCAATAGCCCAAGGAAGTTGGCTCTATAAAGCTTGGTTCACACTATAGCGGCTCTGCAAGTTGTGTTTTTGTGTGGGCACAGCAGCCCATTCATTTCAATAGCCTGCCATGCCTCCTGAAACACAGGGAAAAGATCCCTGCTCCATTATTTTTTTATTTTTATTTTTTAAATCGTAGCCCGCACAGAAACTGCAATTGCAGTGTGGCTTCCAGTGCAGTAATCAGCTGCTGCGATCTCCAGTGCGTCAGGGTGTCATTGGGATTTATGGCAATCGCATGAATCTGCTGTAGTTGTTCTGTGCGGGTGGTCGCGGCTGCGGAAACAAGTGCGGTCCAGCAAAGACAGTCATCTGCACAGGTGCGAACCTAGCCTAAAGCCTTGTAACACATGATGAGAATATCAGACACATGGTTGTCCAATTGTGTTTTGTTTTTTTTTTTTTCTTTTTTTTGCAATGATTTCATGGTTTCAGAAAAGTCTCAAACTGATATCAAAAGCACACTGTGTTTTTCCATTGAACTGACCCTACAAATGATTTCAGTACTCAGATTAGTCATAGTTCTTGCCAAGTTAAAGTGGTTCTGAAGCCTGAGGGTTTTTTACCTAAATGCATTCTATGCATTCAGGTAAAAAAAACCTTCTGTGTCACATACTCCCCCCTCTTCCCCTCTTATACGTACCTGAACTCCATTACAATCTAGCGCTGTGCACGAGAGCTGCGTCTTTCCTGACTTTGTCCCTCCTTCCTGGGCAGATCAATGGCAGCAGGAGCCATTGGCACCTGCTCCTGTCAATCAACTCCAGTGACAAGGGACCAGGGGGTGGGGCTGAGTCCCGTTGTCTGTGTCAATGGACGCAGCAGCGGGACTCGGGAGCGAGCTCACACAAGTGTCCCCATGAGAAAATCGGCTTTCTATTGGGGACACTGAATAGAGAGGAGGAGCCAGGAGCGCTGGCTGAGGACCCAAGAAGAGGAGGGTCGCGGCGGCTCTGTGCAGTTCTATTGCACAGAGTAGATAAGTATAGACATGTTTGTTCTATTTTTTTTTTTTTTTTCTTTACAACTTTTTTAAATGACGCTGATGAATTTGGCTTGGCCACCCAGGTATCGATAACCTCCAGTCATGAAGAGGTTTGAAAGAAAATGTTCAGGAATGTTAAGTGAGCCAGAAAAGCAACTAGCAAAGTGCAAAAAGCAATAGCAAGCAATTCATTTTATTTTTTACTGATCTGAACATATCAGATTCTGATTGCTATAGCTTGGATTACATTTTACCGAATACATCTTGTTTGTTCCACTTTTTGGAACGTAATGGGGCCTCTTTTTTTCCTATCTGCAGGGCTGAAGGCATTTTTTTCTATTTATTTTATTTCAGCACTTTTATAGTGTGAGAGTTCTGGTAACAGCTGCCCCGTATCTGCCTTACAAGGTGTTATGATGGGCTGGTGTCTCCAGACGGTGCTACATTCATATGACACCTTGTAACTTTGCTGCACTGGCCTATTAAACTCTTCACTGTTTATTCAGTGCCCTTTATATAGTGCTAGCAGCACGTCTGCCACGGACAGGATTAAATATTTGCTGGTAAAAATTCACCCCATGTGATGTATGTTCGGGAATATGTCAGGGGAAGTACACTATGGCATTCTTGAGATTGTAAATCAAATATTTACATATATTTAAAAAAAAAAAAGGAAAAAAAAAACCAAAATAATTGTATGTATGTATATGTGTATGTGTGTTAGGGGTCATTATCATGTTGGAATACTGCCCTGTGGCCCAGTCTCTGAAGGGAGGGGATCATGCTCTGCTTCAGTATATCACAGTACATGTTGGCATTCATGGTTCCCTCAATGAACTGTAGCTCCCCAGTGTCGGCAGCACTCATGCAGCCCCAGGCCATGACACTCCCACCACCATGCTTGACTGTAGGCAAGACACACTTGTCTTTGTACTCCTCACCTGGTTGCCACCACACACTCTTGACCTCATATGAACCAAATCAGTTGATCTTGGTGTCATCAGACCACAGGACATGGTTCCAGTAATCCATGTCCTTAGTCTGCTTGTCTTCAGCAAACTGTAGGCTTCTTGTGCATCATCTTTAGAAGAGGCTTCCTTCTGGGACGACAGCCATGCAGACCAATTTGATGCAGTGTGCGGCGTATGGTCTGAGCACTGATAGGCTGACCCCCCCATCCCTTCACCCTCTGGAGCAATGCTGGCAGCACTCATACGTCTATTTCCCAAAGACAACCTCTGGATATGATGCTGAGCACGTGCACTCAACTTCTTTGCTCGACCATGGCGAGGCCTGTTCTGAGTGGAACCTGTCCTGTTAAACCGCTGTATGGTCTTGGCTACTGTGCTGCAGCTCAGTTTCAGGGTCTTGGCAATCTTCTTATAGCCTAGCCCATCTTTATGTAGAGCAACAATTCTTTTTTTTCAGATCCTCAGAGAGTTTTTTTTTGCCATGAGGTGCCATGTTGAACTTCCAGTGACCAGTATGAGAGAGTGAGAGCGATAAATCCAAATTTAACACACCTGCTCCCCATTCACACCTGACACCTTGTAACACTAACGAGTCACATGACACCGGGGAGGGAAAATGGTTAATTGGGCTCAATTTGGACATTTTCACTTAGGGGTAACTTTTGTTGCCAGCAGTTTAGACATTAATGGCGGTGTGTTGAGTTATTTTGAGGGGACAGCAAATTTACATGTTATACAAGCTGTACACTCACTATGTCACATTGCAGCAAAGTGTCATTTCTTCAGTGTTGTCACATGAAAAGATATAATAAAACATTTTACAAAAATGTCAGGGGTGGACTCACTTCTGGGAGATACTGTGTGTGTGTGTGTGTGTGTGTGTGTGTGTGTGTGTGTGTGTGTGTGTGTGTGTGTGTATATAAAATTATGGAAATATTAGCTAAAAGAACAAAATCGTTACCCAATATGGTGTTGGACCACCTTTTGGCATCCAAGACAGCCTGAATTCTTCTGGGAATTGACAAATAGAAGTCTTGGATGATGGATAATGGAATCTGAACCCATCCGTGCAAAAGTCATTCCAGTTCTCTCAGAGATGCAGGAAGCGGAACACAAGCCCAAACCTTGTTCTCCAAAATTGACCATACTGGCTCTATGATATTGAGGCCCAGTGATTGCAGCCCCCAGAGAAGGTGCAAGACTTTGCCTACATGATCGTCAAAACCACGATTTGACAACACCAGCTGTGTGAATCTGAGCATTATCGTCTTGGTAAATGGCACTGTCTTTAGGAAACAGTGTCACCATGGGATGCACATGGCCAGCCAAAATGTGTACATAGTCACTGGCAGTGACTACCTTTCAAGGTGATGATGGGGCCTACAGAATACCAAGATATGGCTGCTCAAGCCGAAAATCGTAAGCTTGGAATGGTGTTCACCACACATAAACATGTCTGGTTGTTGGGAACATGGGATTATATTAGTCTTCCACTGATCGATAGTCCACGATTTATAGGATGTTGCACCACTCTTTCCTCTTCTGAGCATTAATATCGGTCACTAGTTGTTTGGCTATTGCGGCTCTCCCATGAATGTTTTCCTTATGGAGTTCCCTTCGCACAGTTTTTGTGGACATGGGCTTTGGAAGACTGAGATTGAGCTCTGCAGTCACTTTTGTAGCAGTTGTTTTCTTATTCCGGATCACAGACCTGCGCAATGTCCTTTTTGTCTCTTCCAGTCAGTTGACCATGTAGACTGTGCTTATGCTTATCAGATGACATTTTTCTGGAAACTGTATATGCCATCATAACCTTTGATACTGTACCTCGTGACATGGCAAATACGTTGGCAACTTCAGTCACAGAGGCACCAGCTAAGCGGCACCAACAATTTGCCCTCTTTGAAGCTCAGTGAGCTCCGACATGACTCTGTATTACTAGCAGCGCACGCAGTGAATAAAGAAAGTGAGGCTTTCCCCCTGTTAGCTAGGTGTCTCATCGCACAGCGGAAGCAATGTTACCTTGCTTTCAGCATGAAAAATGAGGTCATTTTCACACCTGCAAATCCTGTATTTCCATATTTTTGTCCAACCTCTCAGTATGTGTGTGTGTGTGTGTGTGTGTGTGTATATACAGTCATGGCCGAAATTGTTGCCTTGATATTTCTCCAGGAAATCATGTATTTCTCACGAAACGTATTGCATTAACACATGTTTTGCTATACACATGTTTATTCCCTTTGTGTGTATTGGGACAAAACAAAAAAAGGGAGGAAAGAAAGCAAATTCGACATAATGTCACACAAACCTCCAAAAATGGGCTGGACAAAAGTATTGGCACCCTTTCACACAACTGCGGATAAATAAGAATGTTACAAGCATGTGATGCTCCTGTAAACTCACCTGGGGCAAGTAACAGGTGTGGGCAATATAGAAATCACACCTGAAAGCAGATAAAAAGGAGAGACGTTCACTTAACCTTTGCATTGTGTGTCTGTCTGTGCCACACTAAGCATGGACAACAGAAAGAGGAGACGAGAACTGTCTGAGGACCTGAGAACCAAAATTGTGGCAAAATATATCAACAATCTCAAGGTTACAAGTCCATCTCCAGAGAACTAGATTTGCCTTTGTCCACAGTGCGCAACATTATCAAGAAGTTTGCAACCCATGGCACTGTAGCTAATCTCCCTGGTCGTGGACGGATGAGGAAAATTGATGAAAAGATTGCAACGCAGAATAGTCCGGATGGTGGATAAGCAGCCCCAAACATGTTCCAAAGACATTCAAGCTGTCCTGCAGGCTCAGGGAGCATCAGTGTCAGCGCGAACTATCCGTCGACATTTAAATGAAATGAAACGCTATGGCAGGAGACCCAGGAGGACCCCACTGCTGACACAGAGACATAAAAAAGCAAGACTACAGTTTGCCAAAATGTACTTGAGTAAGCCAAAAGCCTTCTGGGAAAACGTCTTGTGGACAGATGAGACCAAGATAGAGCTTTTCGGTAAAGCACATCATTCTACTGTTTACCGAAAACGGAATGAGGCCTACAAAGAACAAAACACAGTACCTACGGTAAAAATATGGTGGAGGTTCAATGATGTTTTGGGGTTGTTTTGCTGCCTCTGGCACTGGGTGCCTGACTGTGTGCAAGGCATCATGAAATCTGAGGATTACCAAAGGATTTTGGGTCGCACTGTAGGGCCCAGTGTCAGAAAGCTGGGTTTGCGTCCAAGATCCTGGGTCTTCCAGCAGGACAATGACCCCAAACATACGTCAAAAAGCACTCAGAAATGGATGGCAAAGAAGCGCTGGAGAGTTTCTGAAGTGGCCAGCAATGAGCCCAGATCTAAATCCCATTGAACACCTGTGGAGAGATCTTAAAATTGCTGTTGGGAAAAGTTTTTTATGTCCTTCCAATAAGAGAGACCTGGAGCTGTTTGCAAAGGAAGAGTGGTCCAAAATTCCGGGTGAGAGGTGTCAGAAGCTTATTGATGGTTATAGGAAGAAGCGACTGATTTCAGTTATGTTTTCCAAAGGGTGTGCAACCAAATATTAAGTTAAGGGTGCCAATACTTTTGTCCAGCCCATTTTTTGGGGTTTTGTGTGACATTATGTCATATTTGCTTTTCTGCCTCTGTTTTTATATTTGTTCCAATACATACAAAGGGAATAAACATGTGTATAGCAAAACATGTGTTAATGCAATACCTTTTTTTTTGTGTGAAATACTTGATTTTCAGGAAAAATATCAAGGGTGCCAACAATTTCGGCCATGACTATGTATGTGTGTGTGTGTGTGTATTTTTTTTGTTATTTTTTTCTTTTTTCCTTTAGTGTATATGAAATATATTATTAAAACCCAAACACAAAGCAACCATGCTCTAATCAAACTAAGATTCAAAAAAAGGTAAAATTAAAAAAATGTAATTAGGAGACTGCTGCGACCTTCCACCTGTCTGACTGTGCATGAGATGTGACAAAACTCTTAAGAAACATAATAAAGTGAGCTGTCCTTTTAAATAAATCACACAGTTAATCCCTTTGGATAATCAATTAATGAAAATATTTTTCCAATGGTGTTCTTAAAAGACAAAAAGGGAGGAAAATGCATTTGTTTTTTAGTTTACATACACTGCGAAATTGCATTAAAATAAGTTACAGTGAGAATAAAAACCTTTGATTTAGTTAGAATTGTCATGTGTAGTTTTTAGTTTTACTTTTTTTTTTCTTTGGAAATTCAATATATAAATGGCACCTAGCTTTTCCACAAAAAAGTTGTTACTGTAAATGTAAACTGCTTCTGTGTTGAGGTAGTACCCACAGTGTGAATAATGTACCAAATACAATAATATCAAAAACATTATATCTGTGCATTGCCAGCCGCATTTCTTGGACACCGCTTTTAATTGAATTTTCTTTCTTTTCAAGGCACAACTACAAAAATAACCACCATCCCCATGACTTCTAAACCAAATGTCATCGTGGTGCAGAAAACCACTGGGAAAGGGACAACCATACAGGGTATTCCTGGGAAAAATGTTGTGACAACCTTGCTAAACGCCAGTGTAAGTACACCATATGGGGCTAAGTTGTACAAGTTCAAAATATATATATATATATATATATATATATATATATATATATATATATATATATATATATATATATATATATATATAATTTTTTTTTTTTTTTTTTTCGGTGCAAACTGTGGTTTAGAACAACTCAAGTATAATTAAAGTACAGCTAAAGTCTCATGTATAACAATCTAAAGAAGTACCAAATCCAGTTACTATGTGGGTTGCAAACCTTATAAAGTAAACACAAAACTTCTTTATCTTACTTGATTGAGCCATATCTTCCTTCATTTATGTTTCACACATTCCCCCTCCCAGATACTGCAGCTCAAGATGGAGGCTTTCAGTAACAGAATCATGGTGTCAATCCAGAGAGCCTTGGACAGGTTAGGTATTGCCAGGTGCTGACTGACTAGCTTCAGTAGTGACAGTATTGACAGCCTTGTGCACTGCAACATCTTCTCACCCCCCTGTAGTATGAACAGGCCTAGCCTTCATGAGGATGGCATGTCTGCTCTGAGTTCAGGGGCAGTGCAGCACCATTGCCACACCATCACAGGAAGCTGCATTAGGTGGACTTCACTTGCAGGGTCAACAGGTATGTGTGGAACTTTTGTTGAAGACTAAGAAAAAAGCTGTAATCATATTTTTTCTAATTGGACGCCATATTTCTCCTTTTAAAGCTAAAACTTTTTTTAAGCATAGATAAGGTAGCAAATGGTTAAAACAATGCCCCAAGTATGCAAGTTAATTTGTATATATGCCGAACAAATACAGATTCCGGGAGATATGGGAAAGCTAGAGTACGAGGAGGAAACCTGGAAATTCAAAGCGCAGTTCCACCCAAAAGTGGAAGCTCTGCTTATCTGCCTTCTTTTTCCCCACTGCTGCCTCATTTGGCACCTTTTTGGTTTGAGCGGGTACCTGATGTTGACAGGTACCCGCTCCCACTTCGCTGTGGCGAACTGAGCTGGAAGTTCGGCCCCCCTCCTTTCCCCCCCATAGCCTTCTGGGACACTTCATATGTCCCAGAAGACTGCAGCCCATTCACAAAGTGCAGCACACTTCACGCATGTGCAGTAGGAGACCGGCTGTGAAGCCACAAGGCTTCACTCCTGGTTTTCCTTAGTCAAGATGGCGGCGCCAGCACTGGATAGCCAATTGAGCAGTCAGTTTGGGGTGAGGACTCTGCTGCTTCCCTGGACAGGTAAGTGCTATAATTTTACAAGTCAGCAGCTACAGCATTTGTAGCTGCTGACTTTTAAAGTGGTTGTAAGGGCTGAAGGTTTTTTTTTACCTTCATGCATTCTATGCATGAAGTTAAAAAACCTTTCCTGTGCAGCAGCCCCCCCCCCCCCCCCCCCCTTATACTCACCTAAGCCCCCTCTCGATCCAGTGATGTGCACGGGAGTCTCCACTATCCTGGGACTCCTCTCTTCATTAGCTGAGACAGCAGCAGGATCCATTGGCTCCCACTGCTGTCAGACGCAGCCAGTGAGCCAATGAGAAGAGAGGGAGGAGGGCTAATCCGTGTCTCCATGTGTGAATGGTCACATGGAGCAGTGGCACGGCAGCGCACCTGCCCCCATTGCAAGCTGCGTACTACAGGGGGGCACCAGGAAGGGCCAGGAGCATTGGTGGGGGACCTGAGAAGAGGAGGATCGGGGCTGCTCTGTGCAAAACCATTGCATAGAGCAGGTAAGTATAACATTTATGTTCTTAAAAAAAATAAATGCTTTTTTAGTATCACGTTCATTTTTGAGAAGGTAGCCGGAACTCTACTTTAACAAAATATTTTAAATGGTAGCAATTTGTGATAGTGTTTTAAATATTTGGGAAAATAGAAAAAAAATGCACAGATAATACAAAGTGTTCCTTGAAGAAAAAAAGTTTACATCATAATTCTGTGTTCTCTGGGCCTCTCTCTGAAAGTCAGGGATGCCAGCAGTACAGGATTCAAAGGGAAACCTTCCAATAGGGACACCTATTCTTGTGACAGTTGTCTGCAATGTTTTTCCTTCACTTCATTGTGTGTGTACAGAGTGCTGAAAAGAAATCTACACATTGAGACACTGATGGCAAAAAAAAAAAAAAAAAAAAGTTTTTATAGGTAGTCTGAAAGTAGCTATTTGAAAAGCTTCCAATGTGTATGTGAGTGCTATGCATTTCAGCTTACAAAAGTGAACATTTTCTTCTAAATGTTTTCATTTATTCTTTAGGGAGATAAAACTCTGCAAGCTGTACCAGCAGGAACAAAGCCAGCTATCATTACAGCCACCCGCCCAATCACCAAGATGATTGTCACACAACCCAAGGGTATCGGTTCAACTGTCCAGCCGGCTACCAAGATTATTCCCACTAAGATAGTGTATGGCCAGCAGGGGAAGACCCAGGTGCGTAGGCGGGGATTCTCTTTCTCACCTTGGCAATATCTACTTTGCTTATAGGAGCTTCAACCTCATGAAATATTGCTTGACAACTGGAGCTTACACTAAGCTAATCCTCTTCACTCTCAGATGGAATGGTAGGTGAGCAAAAGAAGGTAAGTTTAGGACCTATTCACACTATTGCGCTGTTTTGTGGCACACACATTAACCCCCCTGGCGGTATTCCCGAGTGTAGCTCAGGGTAAAGTTTCAGTACCACAAGCGGTAACCCCGAGCTACACTCGGGAACAGGGGCGGACTGACAACTCATGGGGCCCCCGGGCAATAGGGGACCATGGAGCCCCTGTGTCCTTCCCCAAACGCAAAAAAAGCCTATGAAAAAGGTACCAGGGGCATCTCATGGGGCCCCTTACTGACCCGGGCCCTCGGGCAGCGCCCGAGTTTCCAAATGGTCAGTCCGCCCCTGCTCGGGAATACCCTGCAGCGTTGCTCAGGGATTCCCTGCAGCACACACCTTGTCCTGCACTTCCGTGATGTCCCTCCTGCAGCATCCCCAGCCATCTCCTCCGGCCGATGCCGGCATCCGTGTTCTGGGTTATGGTCCCTGAGAGCGTTGGGACATACGGGATGTACGGGGGACGGAACGGCGGGAAATTTGAAAATTTTAAAAACTGACATTCACTAATGCACTAAAATCACATAGTATAAACATTCCTGTATCAAACCATTTCACATACATTTTGTCCCGAGTGCTTTGTCCTGTGCCCTGCCTGCATTTTTACTGTTCTTTCTGTCTGGAAACTGAGAAACGTCCATGGCGACCAAAAAACGTCCCTTTATGTCAAAAGCGGTTTTAGATCAGCTAGAGAACAGCGATAGTAAATCAGAACCACTTGCAGAATTGAGTGATGATTCGTGGGGAGAATTCGTCATCAGACACTGAAACCGATTTTGCGACTTTGCTCAGTGATGTGCGAACTTGGCGCTATATTTCACATTTCAGTGTTTTTGGTTTGATTTATATTATTGAATTACATTTATTATTTTATTATTTTTTATGATTTATTATATTTTATGATTTCGTGTTTCAAATTTTATCATACCCGGGATGTTTACTAGACTCTTGTTCGGACAGATTTCAGTGAGTTATTCCTAAAAATTACAGGCCTACAATAAAAAATACATATTTCCATGCAAAAAAATGTACCGCTTTCAGCATAGAAATACTGATGATATAATCAGAGCGCTAGGGAGGTTAAAGTGCATTTTGTAAAGGCAGCACATTTATTGTTGCAGCAACTCAGGTGTGTTGAGGTGCCATTCAGAATAAATGGTACCAACATTTTTTTTTTTTTTTTTTGCTACAGCACAGTAATGTGAATAGTTCCCAGTGGGCCCTTTCAGAATTGTGTGTTGCACACTTATTTTGAATAACACCCCATTTAGAATAAGAGGGGCAGGCAACATATCAGCTCTGAAGCACCTCACAAAGTACGTGTGTGTGTTGTGGCGTGTCTAATTTTTGGACACCTTCTGTGCTTGGGCAGCTTATTCATAATAAATGATCTGTCTCAACCACTTGCCCTTCTGAGGATTTACCCCCTTCCTGACCAGGCCATTTTTTTGCTTTACGTCGCTGCGTTACTTTAACTGACAATTGCGCAGTCATGCAACACTGCACCAAAATGAAATTTACGTTCTTTTTTTCACGAATTTAGCTTTTTTTCAGTGGTATTTGATCGCCTGTGCGTTTTTAATTTTTTACGCTATAAAAAAAAGACCGAAAATTTTGAGAAATAAAAAATACAATATTTTTGACGTTTTGTTATTAAATATGTCCAGTTAAGAGTTTAAAAAATCTAATTCCATCATAAATTTATCCCAATACATGTAAATTAATTGGTTTACGTCAAAGATAAGCGTTTACAAATGGCGGTATATATACTGGAATTTATTTATTTATTTATTTTTTTTACTAGTAATGGCGATGATCAACGACTTATAGTGGGACTGCGGCAGGCATTCTGACACTGGTGGGGGGAACTTACTTGGTGTACATAACATCCCCAGTGACACCAATACAGTGATCAGTGCTAATAAAAAGCACTGACACTGTACTAATGGCACTGGGCAAGAAGGGGTTAACATGAGGGGCGATCAAAGGGTTAACTGTGTGCTGGGAGTGTTTTACTGGGGGGGCGGGGGGGAATGGCGGTGTGCTGGTGCTTCACTGTAAGCACACTGCTCTCGATGGCTGTGCACAGCACTACCATCCAGAGCAGTGTGCCTGAGCCGACAGGGAGGAGGATTGTTGGTTAACAAAGCAGTCGTCTTCCCCGTCAGAGATTCTCTGTAATCACCGGGTGCCCGTGGGTAATCACTGGCCAGGACCCAGTGATTGGTGGCGTAGCTCGTGCGCACCCCCTACCCATAAATACAAAATCTTGTGTATATATACGTGATTTTGCGCACCCCTGCTGTCTTCTAGCAGTATATCTGCTTTAGGGCAGTCGGGATGTGGTTAAAGACCAGTTGAAGCCTTTCATGTTACTTGTTTACATAACATGCAAAGCGTTTGCCTATATATATTTTTTTTTTCAACTATGCATTAGTGTTTAACAGTAGTAGGCTGGTCTATATATCCTGCTGCCTTACATGCCCTGTGAATACCACTCCAATTGACAATGCTGCTTAAGGAATATAAGCATTGTTGATTGGAGTGCAGAGGTGGGGTGTCAGGACAATGGAGCCCTGGGCCACTGCATTTTGTGTGGGAGCATGTATTTAATACTACAACTGTCAGACAGTGTCAGTATTAAAAAAAAAAAAAAAAAATGACTGGGCATCTAGGGTATGAAATGGTTCATGAAACAAGTTCAATATCTAACTGCCGTACACACCTCTAGTCAGATCATTATGGGTATACTGGTAGATCACAAGCTTAATAATGGCATGCAATGCCAAACTGCGGGTTCTAAAGCGAGCAAAATCCTCTCTTGTATTAAAAGAGGTATAGACTCCAGAGAGAGAGATATCATATTACCCCGGTACAAATCATTAGTAACACCTCATCTGGAATATGCAGTTCAGTTTTGGGCACCAGATCACAAAAAGAACATTGGGGAACTGGAGAAAGTGCAGAGAAGGGCAACCAAACTGATAAGTGGCATGGAGGAGATCAGCTATGAGGAAAGATTAGAGGAACTGAATTTATTCTCTCTTGAGAAGAGGAGATTAAGGGGGAGATATGATCACCATGTATAATACATAAGGGGGGGATATGATCTCCATGTATAATACATAAGGGGGGATATGATCTCCATGTATAATACATAAGGGGGGGATATGATCTCCATGTATAATACATAAGGGTTGAGTATGATCACCATGTATATTACATAAGGGGGGATATGATCTCCATGTATAATACATAAGGGGGGGATATGATCTCCATGTATAATACACAAGGGGGGGATATGATCTCCATGTATAATACACAAGGGGGGATATGATCACCATGTATAATACATAAGGGGGGATATGATCTCCATGTATAATACATAAGGGGGAATATGATCTCCATGTATAATACATAAGGGGGGATATGATCTCCATGTATAATACATAAGGGGGATATGATCTCCATGTATAATACATAAGGGGGATATGATCTCCATGTATAATACATAAGGGGGGATATGATCTCCATGTATAATACATAAGGGGGGATATGATCTCCATGTATAATACATAAGGGGGGATATGATCTCCATGTATAATACATAAGGGGGGGGGGGGGGGGGAGTATGATCTCCATGTATAATACATAAGGGGGGATATGATCTCCATGTATAATACATAAGGGGGGATATGATCACCATGTATAATACATAAGGGGGGATATGATCGCCATGTATAATACATAAGGGGGGATATGATCTCCATGTATAATACATAAGGGGGGATATGATCTCCATGTATAATACATAAGGGGGGATATGATCTCCATGTATAATACATAAGGGGGGATATGATCTCCATGTATAATACATAAGGGGGATATGATCAACATGTATAATACATAAGGGGGGATATGATCTCCACGTATAATACATAAGGGGGATATGATCTCCATGTATAATACATAAGGGGGGATATGATCTCCATGTATAATACATAAGGGGGGATATGATCAACATGTATAATACATAAGGGGGGATATGATCTCCATGTATAATACATAAGGGGGGATATGATCTCCATGTATAATACATAAGGGGGGATATGATCACCATGTATAATACATAAGGGGGGCTATGATCTCCATGTATAATACATAAGGGGGATATGATCTTCATGTATAATACATAAGGGGGATATGATCTCCATGTATAATACATAAGGGGGGATATGATCTCCATGTATAATACATAATGGGGGCTATGATCACCATGTATAATACATAAGGGGGGGATATGATCTCCATGTATAATACATAAGGGGGATATGATCTCTCCATGTATAATACATAAGGAGGGATATGATCTCCATGTATAATACATAAGGGGGGATATGATCACCATGTATAATACATAAGGGGGGGGATATGATCTCCATGTATAATACATAAGGGGGGGATATGATCTCCATGTATAATACATAAGGGGGGATATGATCTCCATGTATAATACATAAGGGGGGATTTGATCACCATGTATAATACATAAGGGGGGGATATGATCTCCATGTATAATACATAAGGGGGGGATATGATCTCCATGTATAATACATAAGGGGGGATATGATCTCCATGTATAATACATAAGGGGGGGATATGATCTCCATGTATAATACATAAGGGGGATATGATCTCCATGTATAATACATAAGGGGGGATATGATCTCCATGTATAATACATAAGGGGGGATATGATCTCCATGTATAAATACATCAGTGGTTCATATAGTGAACTCGGTGTAGAGTTATTCACCCTGAGGTCATCACAGAGGACAAGGGGGCACGCTTTATGTCTGGAGGAAAAGAAATGTAATCTCCAAATACGGAAAGGTTTCTTCACAGTAAGAGCTGTAAAAATGTGGAATAGACTCCCTCAAGAGTTGGTTCTGGCCAGCTCAGTGGATTGCTTTAAAAAAAAAGTCCTGGGTTTTTTCTTAGATACTCAGAATATAACTGGATATAACATTTATAGGTAAAGTTGATCCAGGGAATATCTGATTGCCTCTCAGGGGATCAGGAAGGATTTTTTTTCCCCTGCAGGAGTAAATTGAATCATGCTTTGCTGGGTTTTTTTCTTTTTTGCCTTCCTCTGGATCAATTGTGGGTATAGGAATATATATATATAAGACCTCCTGCTCTCTAGCTCCCTTGTCTCCTCCTCCCATGCTCATCCCCAGGACTTCTCCAGGGCGTCCCCCATCCTCTGAAGCTCCCTACCCCAATCTATCAGACTAGTGCCTACTCTACTTACTTTTAGGTGATCACTGAAAAACCTATCTCTTCAGGGAAGCCTATCCTGCCCTCTGCTAATAATGGAATCTTCTACTCTTCCAACCACTCCATCCCCCACAGTTATTACCTATTGTACCATTAACCCCTCCCTCCTAGATTGTAAGCTCCCAGGATCAGGGCCCTCAAATCCCTCTTGTAATGAACTGTATTGTTACTGTATTGTCTTCCACTATAATGTAAAGCGCTGAGCAAACCGTTGGCGCTATATAAATCCTGTATAATAATATATATATATATATTTTTTTGGTTGAACTGGATGGGCTTTTGTCTTTATATCAGCCAGACTAACTATGTAACATGAATGTTTGTGAGATTTGGGGAGTACTGTGAGAATTTATTCTTATATTTCTTGTGTTTTCTCGTCTCAGGTCCTTATAAAGCCAAAGCCGGTGACGTTTCAGGCCACAGTCATGAGCGAACAAACCAGACAGCTGGTGACTGAAAACACTTCAGCAGGCTTCACGGGTGGTGGAGACTACCAGTGCCACCATTCAGGAAGTGAAGGAAGACACTGAGAGCAGCTCCTCCTCTACTGAGTCCTCCCAGAGCTCCCAAGGTGACCCAGAATACATCTCTCAGTAGGCCCGGGGTTATTCTAGATTTAGTATACATCAGTACGGTATATGGAATGCTATTTATGTCTGTTTCTGGTGTCCAGTAGCTGCTGAATATGTGTAAATATATACATGTTACAGGCAATGTGGGAAATCATGAATTCTATAGAATACAAAAGCACACATCGACGCTATTCTATACAGTTTACTTGAAGAGAACCATTTGCCAATAATCGTACACAAAAATCTAACTACTCTATTTTAAAGCCTAGTTGAAATATCAGTTCAAATTCAATACATTCCCAGATACAACAAAGCAAAAGATGTTCAGTGTCAGCCATGTTCTGAGTAAAAAAGCCTGCCCATTGCCAGCAGCTACAGAGAAGGCCTTCTGTCTGTGTGGAAGCAGTGGTCTCTCTGCTGAGGGCCGATACACCCCTTACTGAGTCTGAGCCAAAGCTTTCCGGTCAGTGGAGGGCAGCAGCTTTGCTAATTGCAGAGCTATGGGTCTGACTCAGTAGGGGGTATGTTATACCCTATTGAGCCACACAGATTTATTTACAGGCTACCCGTCAGAATTGAAATTCACTGCTGAATTGATTTGGCAGTGCATGCCTTTGGGTTGTCATTCTCATCCCTTCTGCCTGATATGCACACGATTGTCCCCAGTCAGTAGCCAAGTAGTAAATGAAAGAAGGATGAGATTCTTGGAACATGACATTTTACAAATGGGCTATGTCAGCTCCTCATTTTTTTCTACCATGAAAAAGTAAACTTTATATTTCAAAGCACCTTAAACTGTTTCAAAATAAAAAATATCTTTGTTTGACCAGATTCTCAGCCTGTAGTCCATGTCATCGCATCTCGTGGTCAGGAGTGGTCGGAGCATGAAATAGCGATGGACACCACTCCTACGATAATCTATCAAGATATTGGAGGAGAGTCCCAGTCTGCCACCTCCACCATCAAGGCGCTGATGGAGCTTCAGCAGACCAGCAGTGAGTACCATAACACCAAAACACAAGGAGGGGCTCAAATATGGTCTTTCTTTCATGTGATGAAGTCCTAACATCAGAGGTCCATTCATCATCTCACTGTAAGCCATGTTTCACATCATCACTTAGCCCATCTTGTTCCTGTAAGGGATAGGACCACATTACATATTTGTTCACGTCACCCCGTTTAAATTTTTTGTGTTAATGGTTTCAAAAATATCATTCATGAAAAGTAAATTAAATGCTAGCAACTTTATCCTGATATTAAAAACATATAAAATGTGATTATAGCATGTAGTGCAAAAGATGTTCTTCAGCTTCTGAATGTTCAGGCTTGTGTAAAACACACATATAACCTTTTGGCGCCTTATGACTCTCATATAACTTTCAGACACCCCCAACATTGGCATAATCTCCAAGTAATAACCATGACCAGCTGATGAAATTTACTTCAGAACATTTCGAATAGAGTAGGGAAGAGTAGCAACCTTTTTTTGTGAAGTTTTTTTTTTTTTTTTTTTCTTTGTGTCCCCACTGAGGGGATTTCCATTAACTTCCGCCTCTGAGAACACAACAGGAAGTGAGTGGAAATTTCACCAAAGTTAGGGGAAATCCTACAGAGGTCAGATGTCCACTTTGGAAGACTTCTGTACAGGTTGTGTCCCAGTGATAGCTGCAGAATTTTATCATTTCTGTGATTTTCCATTGCTTTCTCCTACTGTTACCTGGTTTGGAAGTGATGGGTTGGGGATGCAGTTGGCAGGAAAAACATGAGAGGTTCCCTTCCCCACACTATTTGCAACTAGAGAGTACCTTTTGGTTTAATTTCCACTTGTAGGAAAAGTACGTGCTTTTAAAAGAAAAGAAAAAAAAAAATTAAACACTCGCCTCCATTCTGCAACATCTGTTTCACATCGGCTCTAAGACCTGAGAACCTGAGTGATCACATGACCACTGATCGCTTAGTCACTGCTTTCTACCTGGAGCAGTCTGAGAACTGTCACTCACTGCTCTCCACTCTGCCCCTCCAGCACTCACTGGGAGGGAGTAGGAAAGGCTTACTCCGGCTCTCAGCCCTGTGCTGCAAGGTGGAGCTAGCTGTCAATCAGGCAGTGGGCTGGATCCCAAAAATATTGTCGGGATGCTTCCTGAGCATGGAGCGGTTCTGCCTTATCAGCAGATAGGAGGCAGTTGCCCTTTATAAGCTGACGCTGGGTCACAGGAGAACAGATGTCATTTTGCTCCTGTGACCCACAAGGGAAATATGGCCAAAAATTGGCCATACTTCTCTCTTAAATTTTTCCTCGTGATTGATCATCCAGGGGGTGTCTGCATAGACCACAATATGCCCTTAAACACACGATCACTTTCCAGTTACAACTTTAATTGACCAGATCATCTGATGAGTCTGTGGGCACATTTGGTATCCCCCGGTCAGCCAACGGCATCCGTTTATAATTGCCCTTTTGTTCTCCAGTGAAAACGAGAGTGGACACTAAGCCCCGGCAGCCGACCATTGACCTCAGTCAGATGGCTGTTCCTATCCAGATGGCCCTTGATAAACGTCAGACTGAAAGTGCTTCCATTTCCGTGGTGGAGTCAGAGTTGGTTGCAGAATACATATCTACAGGTAGGGGCAATATATTAGTAAGCTGTACAAGAGTGGAAGGGATGAGAGTTAGTCGGCCATTACTGTGACTATAAAAATGCATAAGAAAAAAAGTGGTTTATTGCTGAACACTTAGCAAGCAGCTGCATTAAATGCCATGGAATATCTAGTTCCGTTTGGTAAATTTTGTGAGCTAGGCACGGCTGCAGACAGCAAAACCAGACCTTGGCCACCATTGCAACAGAACACACCCCAAGCTGCCATTTGCACAGTGAAGGAGCTCTGCTCCTCTGTTCATTCTCCCTCTTACTACATATTCACTCTTTGCACATGTGCAGTGCAACTGAGTCGAATTGGCTTCTAGATTTAGTCCTCTCGTGAATGCAGCATCGCAGGAGGCAAGAATCAGGACATCAAGATACCTGGACTAAATGTAGTTAACACACGCTTCATTACCGTGGAACTGTAGGCTATAACCAGTTAAAGTGGGTGGACAGGCACGATTTCTGCATTAAAACTACTTACCTGCCTGTCTGCCCTTGTGCATAGAGCCATGCATGTGCAGCTGAATTTGACTGAACTTCTGCGCATGCGCGGGAGTGACGCTGCATTGCTGGAGCTGAGGTGAGTATTGTTCCAGTGTTCCAGTCCCATTGTTAAAGTGGGACTAAACCCATCAATTTTAACATTTTCCCAGAATAGTTAAATTCAGGCATGCCATAAATAACCGCCACATTTGCTTGGGCTCTCAACCAAACTGTCAAGACATCAAATAGCTGGTGTCATATGATTTAATGTGCAGCGCCATGGCTACTGCTGATGAAAGAGAGGCTAATATGGCAGCTCTCTTGGCTGTAAAGAATAGGTAGGATGGTTTAGTTCCTTTTTTTTAAAGTGGTATTAAACCTAAAAGCAAACTATATTTCTTTTATGTTCATTGACTATTCTTTATCCATGACCAAACGGTTTTATAGCCCCACCTACAGGAGTAGGACACCAGGCAGAAATAATCTTGGCACCTCCTATGGGCACTCCTCTCTGGGCATAAAAACCCCTCTCTGCTATAGGCCTCCAGTCATTTCTGCCTAGTGCCCAGCCCTCGGGAGTATTGACGTGTCTTTTTTAGCTGGGGCTTGTGGTTCCGTGGCTTTTCTTTTTTCCGTTTTCTTTTTCTTAATTTTTCTTTGATGTTTTCCTGCAGAGATATTTTATCAACAGTCAGGCTGGGCGATGGGGGCTGGATAATCTAATCCAGTGGTCACCCCAATCAAACCAGCTAGCTGAATGCTAGGTTGGCCCCGACTAAGCCCCATGACTGGGTGCCTATATTCTGTGTCATGGTGTTACTCCTGGTCGAAAACACACACACACACACACTCTCTCTCTCTCTCTCTCTCTCTCTCTCTCTCTCTCTCTCTCTCTCTCTCTCTCTCTCTCTCTCTCTCTCTCTCGATCTCTCTCTCGATTCTCTCTCTCTCGATCTGTCCCCTGGACGTGGTGTGGGCGGGTGCTCCCTGGAGTGGTCAGTCCCTACGGGTTCTCTTCCTTCTCTATAGGCCTGGGCTTCCCATGCCTTAAACCAGTGTTTCTCAACCTTTTTTCAGTCGATCCACCCTTTAAACTTATGGGCAGTCCCCGAGACTCCCTTTAAAGTTATGGACAGTCTTGAGGCACCCCATTCTAAAATGTGAAAAACTATTGTAATCATTTTATATTGCGCAGCAACATCCACACATGTAGGAAACCCAACACTAGAGGTGATTTATTCTTCCAAAGCAAATACACATTTGTACATTGGTACTGACTAGTATGCCATTGTTTCTCTTCTTCCTCAGTTTTTATCCATCACTGAGCTAATGTGACTCCAGGACTGATGGAGAGGGGCAGGGGAGGGTCAAACTAGGATGCTGTGCAGGCAGCTGACATCCTCCTTATCAACTAATGTCAGGATGGTCAAAATGGTGCACAATGAAAACCTGTGGCTTTGTGTAACTAAAAGTCAGACTTGATCCACCCGCTGGCTTGCATACAAGTTTTGGCCAATTTTTAGACATTTTGCCAAGGAACCCCTGAAGAAACCTCATGGCACCCTGGTTGAGAAAGGCTGCCTTAAACTTCCCCCCACTGCTGGTTTACTGGTGTGCTGAGATGGGGGGTTTCCCTGAGGCCACAGTGTCACCATGTGTAGACTGGTAGCCCCTACTGTGTTCCCAGGCTGGTGGATGGTCCCCTGGTTTTGGCAGTGACAGGCTGGCAGCGCCCTGGCCAAGCTCTGGACTGCAACCTCCTCCAATCTTAATGGCATGTCCCCCCGCCCTTTAATGGGTGGGATGGCGGAGGCGAGGCCCTGTGGAGCAGCCTCCATTTTTTGCTGAGGTTTGCTTCTCTCCCTTCCTATATCTCTGCAGGGCTGAGGAGCAGTGGCCACAAGGGTGGCGGCCTCCTGTCACCTCCCTAAACGACTCCCTGAGTGTAATGTTAGCAGCTTTATTGCTGGTCCCTTCACCTGCGCCTCCTCCATGTGCTGGGTGGCTCTGTAACATCGTGGCCTCATGCACACTCCTGTGTTCAGCACTGACGGGCAAGGTCTTGCACTCTCCATTTCCACCTGGGATTTGAATTTGCCCAGTCAGCTCTTCAGAAGCCCCCCTTTGGAAGCCTTCGGGATCTTGGGGTGTGGGTGTCGGAGTTTGCGACTTTGTCCTGTAAACCGTCTTGTCTGGTTTTACACAAGGGCAAGATAGTGCTTTGGCCTCCCCCTTCCTTTCTGCTGAAGGTGATGTCAGATTTTGACTTGAATGAGGACATTGCTCTTCGATTTCTGTGTTCTCGGCTGTCGCACCCAAATGAGGTAACTCTGCACTCCTTGGTTTTGGTTCGCGCAATTGCATGCATCTTTCTGTGACCGCTGTTTTTTTTATAGATCCGTTTTTTTTTTTTTTTTTTTTTGTGCTTTCGGATGGTCCAAAGAAAGGCTGGAGGCCTCTTCTACTACTATTTCTTGTTGGAATAGGCAGACACTTGTGCAGGCGTATGCCATCGAAGGTCGGGTACCTCCTTTCCCTGTTACGGTGCACTCCATTGGGGGGGGGGGGGGGGTAGCGCCTCTTGTGCGTTCCGATATCAGGCTTCTGTTTCTCATGGTTGCAACACCGGCAACCTGGTCGGTTACGACATGCCTTGTGACTGACTGGAGGCCTATAGCAGAGAGGGGGATTTATGCCCAAAGAGGACTGCCCATAGGAAGTGCCGAGTTTTTTTTTTTTTTTTTTCGGCCTAGTGCCCTACTTCTTGTAAGTGGGGCTATAAAACCCTGTTTGGCCATGGATAAAGAAGAAACAGCTGTGTCCGTCAATGAACTCCGAAAGGGATTTTACGGTGAGTAACAAAAAATCCAGTTTTTCACCTGGTGATTCTGTCAGGGGGTCTGTTTTTCAAAAGAACAAGCTCTCCTGCAGAGGTAACAGAGGGATGAGACAAACCATTTAACACTGATGTGTGTGCTTACAATGATCAGCTTTTATTTCTGTAAAACCTTTATCCCTGTAAAGTTTTATCTGGTGTTGGGCTTCAAATTGTTGTATTGAAATCGGCTAGTATATCTAACACTTCCCTCCCTCTGGACTGACAATGCTGGTGCCCCCTCTGTTCTTTCATCAATAGTGGGGGCGTGCTAATACAGGAAGTATTACTGGCAAGATCACCATGTGAAAAAAGAAAACTAATGCAACCAATCGAATGATTGGTAAGTTGCAATGTATTACATTTTTGGTTTTGGGTATACTACTTTAAGTTAGCTGTTTGAAATTTAGATTCAGGATCCATTCACAGATTCTGATGCCAGAAGACACACAATGTGTGAGAATGAACAAATGAGCTGCCCTAACGCAACACATGTTACCATGCGAAGTAACGCATGTACTGCAAACGGCCAACCGCTACAGCTACCCCTACATTGCTGGTGTTGTAGCAATCTTGTTGTGATCAGATGCTTTGAGGGTAGAGGAGAGATCGAGTCTAATATGCCCCATTTCTCTGAAAAGAGTACCTGTCACTGCCTACTGCTACCACAGGGGATATTTACATTCCCTGTGATAACCATAAACGTGATAAAAAAAATTGAAAGGAACAGTTTAAAAATAACAAAAGCAAAATAAAAAAAAAAAATTCACCCCACCTCCATCCCTATGCTTGCGCACAAAGGCAAACTCAAGAGTCTGTCCCGTGTTGCTTTGTAAAGAGAATGCACCATGCATGTGAGGTATCAACTCAAACGTCAGATCGAGGGCAGTCATTCTAGCACTAGACCTCCTGTGTAAATCTAAAGTGGTGACCTGTAAAGGCTTTTAAAGCATCGTCAATGGATAGTAAAAATTTACGTAGTTAGTCGTCGTTGCGTGGCCGTGCGCAATTTTGAAGCATGTTATGTTTGCTGTCCATTTACTCGGCATAACCTCTTTTACATTATATCAAACAATTTGGCAATATATTGTTTTTGTGTATTAAAATTCTAAAAAGTGCATTTTTGCCCAAAAAATGGCGTTTGAAAAAGCTCTACACAAATACTGTGTAACATCAAAAATTTCAACACCTACCGTTTTTATTTTCTAGGGCTCTGCTTTTAAAAAAAAAAATACATTGTGTGTGTATGTGTATATGTGTATGTATGTATGTATATATATATATATATATGTATATATATATATGTGTATATATGTATGTGTGTATATATATGTGTATATATATATATATATATATATATATGTGTGTATATGTATATATATATATATATATATATATATATATATATATATATATATATGTGTATGTATGTTATTATGTATGTATATATGTGTGTGTGTATGTGTTATATATATATATATATATATGTGTGTATATATGTATGTGTATGTGTGTGTGTATATATATATATATATATATATATGTGTGTATATGTATATATATATATATATATAGTGTATGTATATATATGTATTGTATGTATGTGTGTGTGTGTGTGT